ATCTGTAGCCTCTAACCATTTTTCCTTTCTTCCCTTGTGGCAAACTTTCTATTTCCTCAAAACTTTGAGGCTCATAATTAACTAAACATACTCTCACATTTTGTATTGTGAACCTGTCAGGTTTCTTTCTGGTTCTCTCACTTCTTCTGAGTAAAATTTCCTGACTAGTTCCTTCCCCAGGATCTTCATTCACCTCATCATCCTCATCTGAGAGCCTAGACCTCTTAAATTTTCTAATTATAGGCTTACTTATGAGTTGAGGTGTAGCAGCACTTTCCTGCACTGTGTTTTGTCTACCTTGCTCACGAGTTTCCTCTTTCGAAATAGGAAAGAAAACTTCCTGATTAGCATGAATCTTATCCCAATTCTGGCTACAGGCAAAATTAGCAGATCTTGATATAACAATGCTTCCTTCATTATCTAAAAATCGCCAAGCTTTGGCTCCCTGTGCATAGCCAACCATTGTTAATTTCCTGGCTTTGTCTTGGCCTTTCCTTCTTAATGGTTTGGGGATGAACACCCATGCCTGTGTTCCAAAAGTCCTTAAATGCCCTAATGGAGGCTTCTTGCCATATAACATAAAATAAGGGGTGTTCTGAATAGGCTCACATCAGAGTCTATTAATTAAATAACATGCAGTCATTACTGCTTCTCCCCATAGATTTTGGGATAATCCAGAATCTTCTAACAAAGAATCTTTCACTGTTTGCACTTTTCTTACAAACCTTTCTATCTTTCCATTTTCTGCACTTTGATAAGCACATGTGAGTCTGTGCTTTATCCCCTCTTGCTTCAGAAAATTTTCTAAACTATGTGAGGTAAACTCTCCTCCTCTGTCAGTTTGGAGAGCCTTTACTCCTACTCCAAATTGTCTCTTCACATATGCCACCCAATTCTTAATAATATCAAAAACGTCACTCTTTTGTTTTAACAAAAAACACCAAGAAAAACAAGAATAGTCATCTAATAAACACAGTATATAACAGGCTCCACCCTTACTCGGTTGAAATGGTCCAACTAAATCAGCATGTACCAACTGAAACTTTTCCTCTGAGTTTCTCAAACTTTTACTAACTGGAGCTGACTGTGTTTTAGTTTTCTTGCATACATTGCAATCTAGAAACTTCTTGCAATCTTTTAATTTTATGCCTTCACTAAACTCTGGCATTTTATACAACACTTTGAAACTTGGGTGACCTAATGCTCTATGTAAATCATGAATACATTCCTGGTGTAATGGAGCATTCTTACTTATTACATTTACTTCACTTCACTTGTGTTATCTCCTGAGGTCAACACATACAAACCCCCCTGTAATACACCAGTTCCACATAACTTATTCCCTTTCAAAATCCTGACTTTTCCTCCAGAAAAATTAACTTCATAACCTTCTTTATCCAGTTTTCCAACTGATAATAAATTATAATAAATCTCTGGAACTAAAAATACATTCCTTAATGTTTTACCCAAATGCTTAACATAAACTTCCCCTTGCCCCTGTATTTTGTACTGTTTTCCATCTTCAAGGGTAACATTTGAACATTTAGGATTCACAGGGTTACAAATTAAACTTTTGTTGTTCACTATATGCTGTGAACATCCAGAGTCCACATAAAATATGTCTTCAACTGCTGGACTCCCCTGGGACTTCACAATTCTTACATACGAGGAACTCCTCCTCTGGTTCACCTTCTTCCCTCCTTGCTTCTTCTGCTGCTTTGGGCAATTCCTCTTTAAATGGTTTGGAGACCCACAATTGAAGCATCTTCTCACCACACAAACTTTCTCCGTCTCCTCCTCGAGTGCAACTCCGGCTGACTGCTTTCCTTGAGAATGCCCTGCTGTGTTTGCAGTCTCCAGGAATTGATCTCTTTGCCTTTCCCAATCAGCAAGAAGTCTGGCACAAATATATTGGAGATTTAATGGTGCTTGGGGGAGTGATTCTAAGGAATTTACTATCCCATCAAACGAATCATCCATGGATGACAGGACAATAAAACATTTGTTCGGCTCTGTGAGATGAAAGTCTCTCTCCTCCAGTTGCAAAAACAAACTCTGCAATATCTGCAAATGGTCTTTCAGACTTTCATTCTTCTCCAGTCTTTTCCTGTAAAGTCGCCTTGCCAGCACAGCCACTGTTGCTGNAGACGAAGCGGATTTTTAGTTTAAGTAGCTGTGTGTTAGTAAGATGTTGTGTTATGGACCTGATTACTGTAACTGTTGTCTATATGTTCTATGTTCTGTACACCGCCACGAGTCGCCTTCGGGCTGAGAGTGGCGGTCAATAAGTGCAAATAATAAATAAATAAATAATAAATATACATCATCTTCCATCCAAAATCCTAGGGTGTTGTCTCATTCATCGAAAGCCTGTCTCCACAACCACGTCTTCACCCGTTTCCTAAATGTCAGGATAGATGGGGCGGTTCTGACCTCCAGTGGGAGAGAGTTCCAGAGTCGCGGGGCTACCACCGAGAAGGCCCTGTCCCTTGTCCCCACCAGACGCGCCTGTGCAGCTGGTGGGACCGAGAGCAGGGCCTCTCCAGACGATCTTAATAATCTTGATAGTTCGTAAGGGAGAATACGTTCGGAGTTCAACTTTCAAAGAAGCCTCAGCATTGATTCATTCCATAAGAACCGTTCCAGTGATTTTTAACATCTTTTCACCTCAGTCATTTAAAGGGAGCTAAAGGGAGGGCTGGTGAATAAGGAGTTTTACCTCAGGGACAACATCAATATTATTTCCCAAATTTCCTTGGGTGGTGGCAGCAACTCTACCAAGATACATACACGTTACCTCAACATACATCTAAACGCTACGTGCCAGAATCGTGTTGTTGTCCAGTTGGGGGATTAGTAATCAAGATCCTTTACACCAGTGTTTCTCAATCTTCCAAATGCCGCGACCCCTTAACACAGTTCCTCATGTTGTGCTGACCCCCAACCATAAAATTATTTCTGTTACTGCTTCATAACTGCAATTTTGCTACTGTTATGAATCGCCATGTAAATATCCAATATGCAGGATGCATTTTCAATCACTGTACCATTTTTGGCACAGATATCTAATATGCCCAAATTTTAATACTGGGGGGGTGGGGGGGGGGGTTGGGAGGAAGCGATTTTGTCATTTGGGAGTTGTAGTGTTGCTGGGATTTATAGTTCAGCTACAATCAAAGAGCATTCTGAACTCCACCAACAATGGAAGTGAACCAGTCTTGGCACAGAGAATTCCCACGACCAAGAGAAAATACTGGAAGGGTTTGGTGGGCATTGACCTTGAGTTTTGGAGTTGTAGTTCACCTACATCCAGAGAGCACTGTGGAGTCAAACAATGATAGATCTGGACCAAACTTGGCACGAATAATAATATGCCCAAATGTGAACACTGGTGGAATTTGGGGGAAATAGATTTGTCATTTGGGAGTTGTAGTTGCTGGGATTTATAGTTCACCTACAAAAAACATTCTGAATCCTACTAACGGTAGAATTGAGCCAAACTTCCTGCACAGAATCCCCATGACCAACAGAAAATGTTTTCTGATAGTCTTTGGTGACCCCTCTGACACCCCCTTGCGACCCCCTCAGGGGTCCCGACCCCCAGGTTGAGAAACACTGCTTTACACTGATTCTTTAAAGGAAGCAGGCTTCCATGCAACATATAATTGTCCTTCTTTAGAGGTCCCTTTCTAATCTATGATACTATATCTGTCATATACATGTATGTGTCTGTGTGAGTCATATACAGGGCTCCCTCACTTATCCATTCCAGGACCGCCCGTAATATGTGAAAATCCATGAAGTAGGGACGCTCCACCCACTTGGCAGCAGCCTTGTTCTCTTCACCAAGTCTGCTGCTCCCCGCCTCGGAGTTCCCATGGGCGCCGTTGATGGCACTGCCAGGCTGGGCTGAGAAGAGGATGAGGCTGCTGCCGAGTGGGCGGAGACAAAGTAAGGACCAGTGCCTGCTTCCCCCCCCCCCGCGTCTCCTCTCCCCGCTTATTGCAGACCTGCGAAACGGCGAGTCCGCAATAAGTGAAACACGATATAGCGAGGGAACATTGTATATCCATCTATGGCTGGATGGCTCTTTGTCAGGAGGGCTTTATGTATTCCAGCAGCTGCAACTCCCAAATGTCAAGGTCTGTTTTCCCCAATCTCCACCAGTGTTCACATTTGGGTGTATTGAGTATTCGTGCCAAGTTTGGTCCAGATCCACTCCATCATTGGTGGAGTTCAGAATGCTCTTGGATTCTAGGTTTAGTATAAATCCCAGGAACTACAACTCCCAAAAGACAAAATCATTTTTAAAGGGATGGTCACTCCTTGAGTTAGTAGGTGTCTTGTGACCAAATTTGACAGCAATTTGTCCAGCAGATTTTGAGTTATTATGTCACTCAAAACAGATAGATAGATAGATAGACAGACAGACTAAACCTTACATGGGGTTGGTTTACCCTCCGGTATCCTAGTTAAACTGAATGATCATGTCACAAAAGGATGAATGTCTTAAAAGTTTGGAAAACTCTGTCTTAGAGTGTCTCTGGGGTCAGATACCACCATTCTCTCCAATGTGNATGCAACCTGAGCCCTGCCACATGCACAATGGAGAACCTTCTTGCAGCAACACCAGAAGCACTCCAAGTGGCTAGATTCTGGTCAAAGGACATTTAATCAACTACCAAACTCACACATTTTGTATTTTGTCTGTTTGTTTGCTTTGTTCTGTTAGAAATGTAATATAATTTGACTGACACGACAAGTAAATAAATAACCATTGAGTTAAAGTGGTGCCAAACTGCATTCATTCTACAATGTAGATCCAATACTCTTTGTTGTATAATTTCAAATTGCATTATATGACAGTGTGGATAGGGTAGCATAGGCAAGAAATGGCTTGAATGCACACTGACAAGGGATTTCGCCCTGGCTTGTTTTGCTCATTGTCTTCCTTCCTTTCTTTCCTTCCTTCCTTCCTTCTTTCTCTCTGTCTTCTGCAGGCATATTTATCGTCACCCTCATCACCCTCTGTTGTTGGTGTTTCATGAAGATCAAAGGGCGCGTCAGCGAAGAAGGATGGCTAATTTTGAAATTAAGAGTTGTCCTCGGAGAGAGTTTATACATCGTCTTAATGTGTTTAGCTCTGATTATCTTAGCCGTCATTTTCAGCGTGCGGTCATTGAACAGCGTGCAATGAGGTGACCGCTACAAGAAGAGCCGCCTCTCCAACGAAACTATTGAAACACAAACACCCAATGCAACACAGAAATGTCCTGAGTTCAAGTACAACATTCCTGCTTTCATTCGCCATGGCTTATGACGGGGTCGGCACATTTAAGGCGTTGGACTGCAGTTCCCATTGGCCTGGACAAGACTAGCTAATGCTGGGTCAAAAAGGTCACATTTTGCCCAGTCTAATTAATGGAAACAGAGACAAATACGGTTTCCTTCTGTCCCTTGCACCTTGTATAGAAAACCTGGTTTGTTTAAGATGGATTTCCCAATTGTATTGCTTAGTATTTAAGTACCAAGATGGCAAACCAAACTGGACTTCTTATTTCACGTTGCAAAAAGGGATTGTGGTTTCAACCCCAAAGGATTTCCACACCAAACCTTGGGCCCAAAGGAGAAAGGAAGAGCAAGAAACATGGGAATTGTTTACATATTGGTCCTAAGCCGTTTTACGCTTTTAATAAACCATGGCTTATGAAGCAAGAAATGTTATATCTGAACCAGCTTTTGTCAGGTCTCCAAATCAATCTAGACAAGAAATGGGTAAAAAAAAGGAAGATATTATATTTAGTCCAGTCCTAAGATGTTTAATTCCAAAGTTCCAGTTATATTTATATGTAATACATTAGATACAGATATTGTCCACATTCTGGAAGGAACAAATATAATAGTGTTAGCATCTACCATTGCAGTATCCTTCCATTTATTTGCTCTTTGACATTTGTCAAATATCTAAATAATCGAGTTGTCTCCTTCCTTCTAAAGCTGTATTGTACACACAAATGTGGGTTCTTGCTTAAATAACGCAGAGATGTACATAGACCGGTATCTCATTTTCTTGTTATGACATGAGGGCACCATTGCCTTACTTAATTCTTTCTGTTAAACTATTAAAAGTTGGCTTGGCTTGTTCTTTCAGGAGGTTTTGTGTTTTCTGATGCATCAGACCACGTGGAGAATTTTTTGGAATGGTTATATCCCTTTCATGAACTGGGTATAAGGATGCTACCTTGGCAGCCACCTCTCCACAAAAGCCAACATTGACACTGAAATTCAACACTGACTGAGGGTTTGGTGGGCATTGACCTTGAGTTTTGGAGTTGTAGTCCACTTACATCCAGAGAACACTGTGGATTTAAACAATGATGGATCTGGACCAAACTTGGCCCAAATACTCAATGTGCTGAAATGTGAACACTGGTGGAACTTGGGGAAAATAAACCTTGACATTTGGGAGTTGTAGTTGCTGGAATTTGTAGTTCATCTACAATCAAAGAGAATTCTGAACCCCACCGACAGAATAGAAACTTCCCACACAGAACCCCCATGACCAACAGAAAATAGTGTGTTTTCTGATGGTCTTTGGCGACCCCTCTGACACCCCCCCACAACCCCCACAGGGGTCCCAACCCCCAAGTTGAGAAACATTGGTCTAGATAAAACTATAAATCCTTATGAGAGGCAGAATTTTGCCTGGAAAAGAGAAGCAAAAGAGGTGATGCCAGAAGCATGTTTCAATAGGTTGTTGTAGGTTTTCTGGGCTATATGGCCATGTTCTAGAGGCATTTTCTCCTGACGTTTCGCCTGCATCTATGGCAAGCATCCTCAGAGATAGGGCAGTCTGTTGGAAGTAGGAAAATGGGTTTATATATCTGTGGAAAGACCAGGGTGGGACCGAGGACTTTTGTCTGCTGCAGCTAGGTGTGAATGTTTCAACTGACCACCTTGATTAGCATTTAATGGCTTGGAAGTGCCTGGGGGAATCTTTCTTTGAGAGGTGATTTGATGTGCCTGATTGTTTACTCTCTGTGGTTTTGCTGTTTGAGTTTTTTAATACTGGCAGCCAGATTTTGTTCATTCAATATTCGAAAGCATGCCACATTGAAGATGGAGCAGACTAATGTGTCCATCTAATGTCGATGCACCGTGGTCACCTAGTGCTTTGAATCACACCCCCTCATGACCCCCACAGGGGTCCCGACCCCCAGGTTGAGAAACACTGCTCTAGAGACTAGTGACCACATCAGACACGGATTTCTCCAAGCGTTTTGCCGTTTATCTATGATGCCAAAACGGTGTCCCTCACATCTGTCTGGAGTGCCTTGATTGTGTCTTCCGTTATGACAGCAGGGTTAATGTACTGGATGGCCTTTGTGGTCTCTTTCAACTCTAGGATTCTATTATCCAAACCGTGGCCCAAAAAAGGCCAATCCGTGGCTTGCCCAGGGGATGGCAGCAGTGTATCTCCCATTGCACATCGCAAGAGCAACCTTGCAAAGCTTGGCCAGGAACCACCGCAGGGCAGGCATCCAGGTCGCATGCTGCTCCATTACCTTACTTGCAATCGGTTGCGCCCTTTGCAAAATTGCGTTGCATCTCCTTCCTTCCCTGTTTTGCCCCCTTTAATACCCATGCTCTCACCTGCAGGCAACGAATGTAATCCTGCCAGTTCCCAGGCACTTTTAAGGATTCTATTCAAGGTTATTCATCCACTTTTATTTCATTTTACGTTGTTTTTCTTTTTGCCGAGCCAACGGTCCCGGTGAATAGAGCCATTGTGCGCTCTGGGACAGCACCATGAGCCCAAACAATGGGGCAATGAAAAAGAATAAAGTGGAAAGACAAGATATTCAACAAGGATGAAAGCAAAGCAGAACGGAGGCATGGATGCCGGAGCTTGGCCAGGCCCAAGGATTACCTGTAACTAATTCAGAATTTATTTTCCCTTTGCCCCACCTCACTATATGAAGTTTATATTGAGTGCAAACATTAAGAGAATTCTAAGTATTGTGGCCGGAATCACTGGGTTGTTGTAGGTTTTTTCGGGCTATGTGACCATGTTCTAGAAGCATTCTCTCCTGACGTTTCGCCTGCATCTATGGCAAGCATCCTCAGAGGTAGTGAGATCTCTAATGTAAATGGTTTATAGTTAGGGCTTCACTCTTCTTACATTGACAGGAATTAATTGGATTAATGTTATTAGCAAATCAGTATTAAGCACAAAATTAAACATTGGGAATGATGTAATTGCAACAGGGGTATTGAAATGTCTTAGTGTATATGCAAAAAAAGCACTAAAAGCCATTTTAATGATGAAATTGCAATGTGATTAAAAATATTTCATGTTAGGAGTGACTTGAGAAACTGCAAGTTGCTTCTGGTGTGAAAGAATTGGCCATCTGCAAGGATGTTGTCCAGGGAATGCCCAGATGCCTTTTATGCATCTAGAACAGCGTTTCGCAACCTGGGGGTCAGAGGGGTCACCAAAGACCATCAGAAAACAATATTTTCTGTTGGTCATGGGGGTTCTGTGTGGGAAGTTTGGTCCAATTCTATCATTGGTGGGGTTGAGAATACTATTTCATTGTGGGTGAACTATAAATCCCAACAACTACAACTCCCAAATGTCAAGGTTTATTTTCCCCAAACTCCACCAGTGTTCACATTTGGGCATATTGAGTTTTCATACCAAATTTGGCCCAGATCTATCATTGTTTGAGTCCACAGTGCTCTCTGGATGTAGGTGAACTACAACTCCCAAACTCAAGGTCAATGCCCATCAAACCCTTCCAGTAATTTCTGTTGGTCATGGGAGTTCTGTGTGCCAAGTTTGGTTCAATTCCATCGTTGGTGGAGTTCAGAATGCTCTTTGATTGTAGGTGAATTATAAATCCCAGCAACTACAACTCCCAAATGTCAAGGTCTATTTTCCCCAAACTCCACCAGTGTTCACATTTGGGCATATTGAGCATTTGTGCCAAGTTTGGTCCAAATCCATTGGATTCACAGTGCTCGCTGGATGTAGGTGAACTAGAAACCAAAACCCAAGGTCAATGTCCACCAGACACTTCCAGTATTTTCTTTTGGTCATGGGAGTTCTGTGTGTCAAGTTTGGTTCAATTCCATAATTGATGGAGTTCGGAATGCCCTTTGATTGTAGGTGAACTAGAAATCCCAGCAACTACAACTCCCAAATGTCAAGGTCTATTTTCCCCAAGCTCCAGCAGTATTCACATTTGGGCATATTGAGCATTCGTGCCAAGTTTGGTGTTTGGAATCACAGTGCTCGCTGGATGTAGATGAACTCCAACTCCAAAACTCAAGGTCAATGCCCACCAAACAATCAATGCTCTTTGATTGTAGGTGAACTAGAAATCCCAGCAGTTACAACTCCCAAATGACAAAATCAATTCCCCCCCCAAACCCCACCAGTATTCAAATTTGGGCATATCGTGTATTTGTGCCAAATTTGGTCCAGTGAATGAAAATAGACCTGCATATGAGATATTTGCATGACGATTCATAACAGTAGCAAAATTACAGTTATGAAGTAGCAACGAAAGTAATGTTATGGTTGGGGGTCACCACAACATGAGGAACTGTATGAAGCAGTCGCGGCATTAGGAAGGTTGAGAACCACTGATCTAGAACATGGCCATATAGCCCGAAAAACCTACCACAACCCTATTATTATTATTATTTACCAATCTCAATAAAAGAGTGAAGAGTAGAGACATCACACAGGCAGATCTGCATAGGCAAAGCAATGGTATTCCCCATAGTAACCTATGGATGCGAGAGCTGGACCGTAAGGAAGGCTGAGTGAAGGAAGATAGACACTTTTGAACTGTGGGGCTGGAGGAAAGTTCTGAGAGTGCCTCGGACCGCCAGAAGATCCAACCAGTCCATACTTCAGATAATAAAACCTGACTGCTCATTGGAGGGAAAGATATTTGAGGCAAAGATGGAGTCCTTTGGCCATGTAATGAGAAGACAGGAAAGCTTGGAGAAGACAATGATGCTGTGGAAAATAGAAGGAAGAGGGGCCGGCCAAGGGCAAGATGGATGGATGGCATCCTTGAAGTGACTGGATTGACCTTGAAGGAGCTGGGGGTGGTGACGGCTGACAGGGAGCTCTGGCATAGGCTGGTTCATGAGGTTACGAAGAGTCAGAAGTAACTGAAATAATTATTTACTATCTCGGTTTCATAATTGACTAGAACTTTGCACCATCATCAATTTGGATTCTATCTGAGACAATAGGAATCAAAATGTCAAGAATCATTGGATAACGTGATATGTTGTAAGTACTTACTTACTTAGGCGATCCCTCGTAGTCTGAGGATGATGGTCCTTCACGTGTGGTATCCTGAGGGTGGATCCGTAGGTGACTGTGAAGCCCTATTCTTGATGTGCATCTTCTCCCGCAGTGAGCGCATCGGTTTCCAGGTGGAAGGCGGTCCCAGTCGGGGTTGGCTTGACGCGCCTTCCTCTTGGCACGTTTCTCTCTTTAGCCCTCCATTCGTGCCTCTTCAAATTCTACAGCACTGCTGGTCACAGCTGACCTCCAGCTGGAGTGCTCAAGGGCCAGGGCTTCCCAGTTCTCAGTGTCTATGCCAGAGTTTTTAAGGTTGGCTTTGAGCCCATCTTTAAATCTCTTTTCCTGTCCACCAACATTCTGTTTTCCGTTCTTGAGTTCGGAATAGAGCAACTGCTTTGGGAGACGGTGGTCAGGCATCTGGACAACGTGGCCAGTCCAGTGGAAGGAAGACCATCGCTTCAGTGCTGGTGGTCTTTGCTTCTTCCAGCACGCTGACGTTTGTCCGCCTGTCTTCCCAAGAGATTTGCAGGCTTTTCCAGAGGCAGCGCTGATGGAATCGTTCCAGGAGTTGCATGTGACGTCTGTAGACAGTCCACATCTTGTAGGCATATAGCAGGGTGGGGAGTACAATAGCTTCATAAACAAGCACCTTGGTATCCCTACGGATGTCCTGGTCCTCAAACACTCTCTGCTTCATTCGGAAAAATGCTGCATACACAGAGCTCAGGCGGTGTTGAATTTCAGTGTCAATGTTTACTGTTGTGGAGAGGTGGCTACCAAGGTAGCGGAAATGGTCAACA